CATGCGATTGTTTAACACTTGACATTTGTTTTTTTGAAAAATTTAAATATTATAAAAACGGTTTAAGCTACTCGTCAAGCAGATAGAAAGAATACGCAAACTGTAATTTAATTTTTAACCATAAGTGAAAACAGATACATAGAAATACATCTACAAAAATATTGATGATCTCAACTTTTTAGCTAATTTTTTAACTCAGTAGAATGATAAACTTAAAAAAAAAATATAATACAGGACAATACATTTTGTAAAATGTGTTAAAAACTAAATTGAACTTTTCCAATAAAAAAAAAATTTTTGTAACGTATTGCCTTTATCTTTCAATCACAGTTTTATCATTACCATATCAACGAGCCAACGATAGTAGCAGTAAAAAATTGTGGAGAGTGCTTAGTACTCCAGTATACTTAGCAATGGAGCAAATTCCCGAAGTAAAAAAAAAAGGCACAGTTACTAAAAAAACCAGCACTCCCATATACAAGTTTCAATTCCGAGGAACCACCATATACCGTTGCAGATATTGTGGGACAAATTACACAAGCGAACCCGACTTGGTGAGACATCAACTTGGACATGAGAGCACAGCTCTTATATGCTATCCTAAAAAGCCCATCGAGGAAAAGAAGTAAGAACAATTCTGTCAAACACTTTAAAATTGAAAATGCATCAGACTACCTTCTTAATTTATTTATCAAACAATAAAAGTTAATGTTTTGGAAATCATAGTACTCGAGAAATTACAAGAAAAGATTTATTATATTCAGCTTGATTTCGGATCATGAACCTACGCCTTATTACTGTTGCCTCTGGCAAAATAATTACCATATCGCATTCATACGAACCTGTAATACATTTATTTACTCGTAAAAATTACCTTAGCACCATGCAAATTCACCGTGTATGCATAATTTCGAGCCTTCATGGCCACAATTATTCTCCTCTACGTATCTCCCGCCCCACTAAAAGCTTAGGTGCTTCTGATAAAAAATGTCTGTATCGCGCTCCCGGAAAATAAAACTAGATATGAATATAATGATTTAAACATGCTTCAGCTGAGTGTAAGTTTGAGTGAAGTAGTCTTAAAAATTGGTTTTATCCTTTATATAAGCGCCTGGACATCGAAACTTGGAAGTCTTTTTTAGATTGTTTCATAGTTACTTTTACAGTATTACATAAACTCACTAAAAACTCGTCAACATGTCGTAAGCCCATTTATTCATCTACGTTAACGAGTTTCTAGCCAGCAGTAATTTTCTAAGAAGGCACATTTTATTTTTAATTAGAAAATTCTATAAAGAAACAAAAAAAAAAAAAAAAAAAAAAAAAAAAAAAAAACAGAAGCACACCTACAAAACATGCCGTTTTTTATACATACATCCTGAAATGTGAGAAAATTCGTGAACATTTAATAAGAGGAGGGTGACAAATTTTTTTTAAACTTTTTATAAAAATTTATGATCCATCCAAATAACAAATTTTAATTTGTTAAAAAATATTCGGTAAAGAAAACATTATGGCTCGAGTCTTAATTTTTTATGAAATAATTTCGATTCTTGACGATTTTTGGTATGATTGTAAAGTAGCTATAAGCTTTGATATGATTGTCACTTTTAACTTTGTCAAAACGTGTAATGAAGTGCTTTTACTAAGCTTTAGTTTTAATCTTAGTGAAGTCAAGAACATTTATCTAGTCGAAAGTTACAGCTAGAGTAAGCTTACTAATCGGAATAATACGTTTCTATCGATTTTTAGTAAAATTACTTAAACTTACAAGGGATTTTTCTTCAATTATAACTTTTAATGCTATTGGATGTTTATTAATATTCCATGATTGAACTGAGATTTGTTCCAACATATATATTATAGTAATGAGAATGTTTCACCCCAAGCTCTGCCACCTGCAGCGCTGCTGCAGAAGAGCCATCAATGAAGTCTCAAATACCTATATGTAGGTATATTGTTGACCGTCTCTAGACTTAATGATGACTGTCAAATCATTATTAAGGAGGTTCTAGCGAGTAGAGATACCAACCCGCATCTTGAAGCCCTAATTTGCCAAAAAATCTTTGATAGTTGGCACCACTTCCGCAAGAAAAACATAGACTAACCTATACGGAAATACGACTAGTCGATCAATTGTAAATAGAATGTCTCAGAATGTTTTCCGGTTATCTATATTTTTCACGATGGCATTTGAAAAATAAAGTTATAACCTACAATACGTATGTACTACTGATAATACCCGACACTTTCTATTAGAGTTGAAAATCATTAGTCTTAGTATACCTGCCATGAGCGCTGTAGTTGAAAGAGCGAGCTTCAAGCATGAATTCTTAAGATTTTTTCCGGTTAAGGATATAGAAAAGGTACCCTTAGATTCAGCGTAATCTAAACTATTTAATAACATATGTCTAATATGGCGACACTAAGGCACTGGAACATGTACATAAGTCGAGGCTGCTCAGCATACAGTCATAAGGCTAATGACTGTATCTGTACAAATGTATTTTCATACAAGAATGGTAAAAATTTATTTGTATATCGATCACTATATACATTTGAGACGCCATGATTGCTCTTGAGCAGCTAGCGCTGCAGGTGGCAGAGTTTGGCTCCAAACATTCTCATTATTGTAAGCACCCAAAGAGCAACAAAGATTTGTTTATCTACGTACAATTTACATTCAAACATAAATCAGACGACATGCGTATCGACAAATCAGAATATTGGCTATCACTAATTATATTACATTTTTTTATGCAGGCCATGTACAAACATAACTGTTAGAGAAAATTACAGTTCGTATACACATAATTTCAATCAATATTTTATAGCGTTCACAGTATATTACACACCGAGAGGAGAAAGTACGGCATTCCCTACCCGGAATGTGAGTTGCCAAACATCTAGGAAACGATGCCGTACTTTCTTCCCGAGGTCCGTATACGATTTTTCTCTTCCTCCCAACCTTTCAAGTGAAAAAATATACTACGCACCTAGTGCGCGAGGTTAAGAATGTCTTATATTTCACTTGCATAAATAAACGTCATTAACGTGAAATCTCATACATTTCTTAACCTTCGAACGTGGGGCGTAATAGTATATTGCGTACGAGTTTGCAAAGGCTTCGATTTACGAACCGTGCGGTTCTGTAAAAGAAGCCTTTTTAAACGAGATTCGAATATCTTACTATTTTTCCGCCTGAGAAAATTTTTCCGCCTTCTAATCTCAAAATAGCCCAAGTCACACTTACAAGGCATTATATTAAAGATTGTTAAGTTGAAAGAAAAAACAAGAACAAACATAAATTGCAGCCATTTGTATCAAAATAGCTAACTTCATAAAATTATAAATTTAAATTAGGTAAACAGTTTTGAAAAGTATGGATTATTACAATAGAAAAAAAGTTACAACTACGATATTTTAATTCGTAAAAAAAAATAATAAAACTACGTACATAAATGATTTTAGGATTAAATTTATTTTCAAAGTAATTCTATACATTATAAAATGATTAAGTACCACATTAAATTTGTTAACGTACGATTTACGTTACTCTATACACTTTAAACAATAAAAAAAGCTAAATATTTCTCTAGATTTTTGGTAAACTATTTTATGTACACACTGTATGCATGTATGTAATTGGTCGAGCCTCAATCTTCCATCCGCACTTTAATTATCATAATAACATAAATGCGTTATTAAACAAATCGTAACTGAAGACTTGATGTCAATTAAAAATGTTTAAGTTTAATTGATAAAACAACTGTAGTTAACTTAAGTTAGTCACACATGTTGAACTCGTAATGATCGATGCACTGGACGACTGAACCTTTACACTCCTTAGCTGTCGAACAACTGATGCCGAAAATCGCACTGGCAGTTGAGTTTGGACTCGTTTCAGTTATCGGATTGGCCGTAGGGAAAGTCGCAGGGACACAGTCGTATGGCTGAGTGCTACGTGTCCCTGCCGGTGGGAAAATTTCACTTTCGGATTCGGAGGGACTCCATCATAAACTCATTCAGTAAGGTAAAACTGAAAATGTTTTCCTCAAGTGTAGATTCCTCTCGGCTTGGACGTCGATGGCACGCCTCAAGGTAAATGTATTAAGTAGTACTTGATCGCCGTAGTACTAATTCGTAATTCTATGTACGCAAATCGCGTAAACAATTAGAAATGAAGGTTTATACTCTCATTTCGGATATATTTTAACACTACTGTTAACACAATACTGATAAGATCACTTCTCAAGGTGGTTCCTAATTGCACGCCGAACTTGAATCTATTAAGACAATTGCTTTGGAATCACGGTAATTGTTGTAAATTGCGTAATTGTGTTAGTGGCCAAGTATTGGGACAGGTTTCCACCTTGGCCAAACTCTGGTACATTTATAAGGGTGTACATTATTAAAACAAAGGTATACCTTATGTGGTTCAGGTGGTCATTCTTGTGGTGTCGAGAGTAGGAGTTACTGTATTAAAGATAACACAGTTGTCTTATGGAAATTTTCAAAAGTTAAATTATATTTTATGCTTGTAGTGGAATACATTTTGATGATTTAACATTCAAATTCGATTGAGTACGCGTAGATCAGATTTTCTAATTTTAGTTGCCGTTGAATTCATAAATGCGCGATTTTAACAATAGTTATGAGAATAACCTTAAAGATAGTTTTTTTACAAGTACTCGTGTAGTTTTTCAAAACTCAACCCTTGTAATACGTGGCAGTAAGAAAAATATTTTTGTAAATCGTATAAGCTCATGTCATACGATGTACAAAATTAATTTCAATTAGTTTTCAACTTTGGTTGTAAATTAACAACAGTAAAAAATATAAGTACAGTAAATGTGGATTTGAAAAAAGCGCCAAAACACAACACAAGTTGGTATAATGGTTACCAACCTACGAATGCCAACTCGACTCTTGCATCTGCTGCATACATATAGTATACTAGCTCTTAAGTTTTGCTTCTGCCAATTGTGTTATCGCGAGCGTGAGGATGGAGGCTCCCAAAATTAACCAAAAAGAGTACTTAAAGAAATACTTGTCGAAAGGTGATTCCGAAAAAAAGAAAAAAAAGAAAAAGAAGATCAGAGTCGGCCCCAAAACGTAAGTCTCTGATTATGTGGATGTATTTCAACTCAATCTTGTATCTACAGCTTTTCCTTATGTTTTAGGTTATGAATTAATACATAACATACACAATGCTTTTAAAAGTAACTATACAAATATTTGTAAGAAACATTTTTAAGTACTTCAAAAAAAACCAACGTTAACATTTACACGTTATCGAGTTACATTGATGTATGCGTTTTTTAGTACCTAAGGCTTGTACCAAGTGTAGTCTCTCTCTCTTATCACTTGTGAACAAAAATTAATAAAAATTCACTTTAGATAGTTTTTTAACATCAGTTAGCAATACTAGTTATAGTTTTTACTAAGATGTATATATTTAATTACGTACATGCATCTTGAAAATTTACATGTCTGCACGTTAAATTGCATTGTTTGCTAGAAAATATTTCTTGAACTATTTTAGTTGAAAATTTCTTGTTATTCCTTTTATTAAATCGCTGATAAAACATTACTTGCAGTGTAACAATCATTGATGACGACATTGATCTGAACAAGCTCTCAACAGCATTCGATGATGACGAAATTAGTATTTTCAATGCCACCGAAGATGCACCTCAGATAGTTGGTATAGTTGATGAGCGTGGACCCCTTAATTTTGGTAATAAACAAAAATGGAAACTCATTGCTGATGATGGCACTGGAGACGTATCTATTTCAAAAGTGGAAAATCCTCAAAAAAGCCAGCAAGACAATCACAAATCTACAGATAGTGCCAAAAGTACAAAAGAAGTCTCTAGAAAAAACAAAAGAAACCATAGCTGTAGCAACAGTAACTCTGAAAGCGATGATGATGACAGAAAATCTAAGAAGAAAAAAAAAGTTTCATTAAAGCGGAAAGGCAAACACAAGAAACGTGATCATAGCTCATCTGATAGCTCAGACTCCAGTTCTGATTCAGAGTCTAGCACTGATGGAACCCTTAAGAAACGTCAGAAAAAGCAATCAAATGGTTCTGATTTGAATCCACCACCATCAAGGGGAAAAAATAACAAGAAAGAAGACAATTACTTGAACCCTCGCAAAGCAAGTGAACTGACTAAAAGACGTACTTCTGGGTGGGACGAAGGATCTTCAAATCAAGGAAGAAAAAATAAAAGCCAAGATGAAAGTAAAAAAAGGCATAGAAGTAGAAGTAGTAGTGACAGTTACAGCAGCAGTACGTCTGAAAGTGAAGATCATAAATCTAGGAAGAGAAGGTAAACTGACTCAATTTAAAAAAAACGAACGCTGTGTCTATTCGCACCAAATCCACGTAATTACGTGGATATTAGTAAGCGCCCCTGGTTGTTAGGTGATTGGCGCTTGTGTTATTAATAATTATTTATTTAACAGAGTGGCCAGTAAGCGCCCCGGGTCATCAGGTGATGGATGCTTGTGTTATTGGACCTTATTTGAATCTCGCGCGTCACCTTCGGTACTATTTTTTTTTTTTGATCTAGTGATTTCCCACGTCAGAGAAGTTGGGTCCTAGAGAATTCCCAAATCTGGCCGGAACTATTCGCTCCGAGCCGATCCAGAGGTTGCGCCCCCTCTAGCCAAAATCAGGCAACATTTCTTGCATGTAAACAAACGGTTTAGAACATATATACATACGTACAGCTGCTTGTGATTGGCACTTGGCAAGCTAGAGAGAGAACGACGATCCTCTCCTGCTGTCTTATTCAGCCAATCACAAGCAGCTATACGTATGCATATATGTTCTAAACCGTTTGTTTACATGCAAGAAATGTTGCCTGATTTTGGCTAGAGGGGGCGCAACCTCTGTATCGGCTCGGAGCGAATATCCCATCGCTGATCGCTGCTTGTCTGATACTTACATAAATAAATATGTATCAGAGTGCTGCAGCCAAACGCATGCGCGCTAACTCAAAACGAACGCTCGTGCACTCGGTGCACCTTATATCCACGTAATTACGTGGATTTGGTGCGAATAGACACAGCGAAAAACGAAAGCATAGAAAATCCAGTTCCTCATCTGATTCCAGTTCGGATTCTGATTCGAAAACAAACTCCAGTCCTGATGGATCTAGAAAAAATGAGAAAAGTTCAAGAAAAAGAAAATCATCCAATGACTCTGATCTCAGTCCACCAAGATCTTCAAAAGACATGAAAAAAAGAAGACATGCTAGTGACAATGACTTGAGTCCACCAAGACCCGTGAAAGATGTCAGTAGAAGAAGACAAGCTGATGATGACGACTTGAGTCCACCAAGACCTTCGAAAGATGTCAACAGAAGGAAAAAAGACAGTGATAATGATTTTAGTGCACGGAGATCAAAGTGGGATAAAAGAGAAGAATACGACGACTCGAATGCACCACGATCGAAGTTCAGTTCTCACAATTCTCGTAGTAGAGATGAAAGATCAAACGAAAAAAGACAAAATAATGACTCTGACCTCAGTCCTCCTAGAACTTCAAGAAAGCCAAACAAAGAAGATGATCTTAGCCCACCAAGATCAAATAGAAGTAAGGATGACTCCAAACAAAGGAAGACACTAGATGGCAAATCTGCTGGTCTTCAGTCATTGAAAGCTCTGAAAGAAGAAGAAGAGGCACAAAAAAAACGAGAAAAAGAAATGCTGAAAAAAGTAAGTCCATTTTTCTTTGTATTACAACATAAAACTATGAGTTTTGTTTACTTTGATTTTCGTATCTTGCTTGCAAATCTCATTTCATTTTTATAAGTATGCCATAAAGCCGTTCTTTATGCGACTTCTTACTGGCACATTAAAGCTATGTACTCTCGTTCTCATTGAGTTGGCCCAAATCCCCCTTATTATTGAGTTCCAAATTTGCACTACTTTGGATCTGAACATAAATTATTTTCAAAAACGTAGGGCAAAGTGATGACAAGTATTTATTTTTTCATAGGAAGTTCGATTTAGCCGTAAATGTCACTTCATGCAACTTTTTTTTTTTTTTATCCATTGGGCTCAGTGTCGGCTAGTATAAATTTTTAGCGTTTGGCAGTGTTTAAATATCGATGTAACTCGTCATAGTGAGTCTGCATCGCGAAAACACTTTGGATCTCCCCAAATCACAAGGTTTCTCAACTTTTGTGAGATTGGCGGCTGATATTAATTTTTTGTCTCATCTGTACCCCAGCCCTCAGCTCATCTAGGTTCACTATGCATATATATGTATTACTTAATGTTTATTTCTATTCATTGGTTATGTGACAGCATAATTTATGTCAGTTTATTATTATAATTCATATGCGTTTATGTATCGTGCATTCAAGAGTGTGCAAGCAACTGATCAACCAATAGTGATTTGCAGAGTCAACACTCTTTAACATAAATATTTACCTTGCAGATGAGTAAAGAAATGCAAAATAATAAAGAGCAAGTCGTCATACGTGACAGAAGAACTGGAAAAAGACGCAATTTAGAGAGGGAAGCTGAAGAAGCCAGAAAGAAACAAGAAGCCCAAAATGAAATTAATGCAAAGTATTCTGAATGGGGCAAAGGGTGAGTTTCCTTCTTTGAAAAAAAATATAATTTATAACTTAAAAAAATGGTACTTTAATCATGATATTTCATCATTTTATTTGACCTTTAGTTTGAAGCAAGTTGAAGATCGCTCTCAGAAACTTCAAAGAGATCTACATGAAATGAGTAAACCTCTGGCTCGATATGCCGATGATGAAGATCTTGACAAAGAATTGAGGATGAAGGACAGAGAAGACGACCCAATGTTGGCTTACTTTAAAGAAAAAGAAATTAAGGAAGGAAAAAGACCACCAGGTACAATATATCCTTAGCCTTGTATTATTTTCTTTGGTTGAGCATTGATTTTTGTAAACTTTTTCCTCCATTTCATATCATCTTGTAACTTTATCACATTATTTGCAGAAAAAATGAAATATCAGGGCTCATACATGCCCAACCGATTTGGTATCCCACCTGGTTGCCGATGGGATGGAGTGGACCGAAGCAATGGATATGAAAAAAAATGGTTCGAAGCTCAAAATAAGAAGAAAGCTGTGGAAGAAGAAGCCTACAAGTGGAGTTCAGCTGATTTATAATTTAGTTTATAGTGATTTCTTTCCATTGATACAAAAGTTTAATTTTGTAAAATTTGTACATATTTATTTTATATAAATTTATTTTTAATCGCTTAACAAAACTTGTTTTTCTTCCATCATTGTAATCCTCATGGCCTTTAATTTCTTTTATAGTCATTTTGACACAACTAATTTACATACAACTTATAAAAAGGAAGTACAAATAACGTTGTTTCCATGATTAATACATTTAATATGAAATTTTGTAAAGTTATAAAGATGGAAATAAAAGTTTTAACTTATTTGGATAAGTTGTAGTGACCAATGATTGTTATGGCCATTTATTAGTGATATATTATAAGTCAAATGAGCCTAGTTTTTTTTCAAAATGTCTGCAATTTCAAGAATCCCAGCAATTAAAATTATGAGTACAATTAGAGCTATTAGCATATAAAAGCTTGTTGTGTGGCTGATTTTTTTCACTTCTTGACTGTAAACCTGCAATGAATCGATCAAATTACTCAACCTATATGTTTTTCAACTTGTTTTTGACAAAATACAACCACACTAAGACTTACTCTGGAATCCAATGTATCGGTACTCAAACGTCTCAGCAGTTGGATTCTGTCGCTTGTGAAATACATTTTCCCTTACAATGCGAAAGCAAATTTGGCAACGGCCAATGAATACTTCAATTCGCCAATCTTGAATCAAATAAATCACCTAAACTCTACTATGTCAATATTTAGTTGTTAAAATTTGTCAAACAACATCTGTAATGGTGAATATATCATCGAAAATTCTATTGTGACGATTTTTTCAATCCTAGAGGTAACACCTAAAAGTATTGTAAAATAGTTTTTTTTTTTTTTCAAATTCTAATTGTTTATACGCCAATAAACTGAGCTTCATATGTTTTTGAAATTTTTTCGTAAATATTTATAATCAACATCTTGAAATACTAATTTAATTAAGTAAAAACTGCATAAAATACACATGAAATATTTTCAGAAAATTAAAAAGTGCCAGCGTTTGAAACCAAATTAACTTAAATGGTATAACGGAGCCATTTACTATCATAAATATTTCGATGTATGTTGTAAAGAAATAGAACTTAAAAAAAATTTGATGTCAAAAGATTAATGTCAAATAAAAATACTCTCACAATTTATTAAATTTAATGATTGCGTTTTTCTAAATTAAATATTAATAATTAACATGTAAGAGATATTGAAAAACAATATTTTATCATTACGGTGGACAGAGTTTTCGAAATTTTATAACACCCAAATAAATAAATGGAAGAATTTTTCTAAAACGTTGACATTCATGTAAAATGCATGACTTATTTTATCAGTCACGAAAAATGTTAAAAAAACACTGGAGGTCAGCATGGCAAAGAAACCACAGACCGTGCAATGTGAAAAACTTGTTGACGCGGTGCGTGCATCCACGCTCGAATGCAACGAGTACCGAGTTTCCCAGGAAAGCAATTTACAAATGCTCGAGATAAAGACCAGGATAAAACTAATCACTGACAGCCGCGCAACAGTTTATATTAGAACTGACTGGCCGAGGTGGTATAAAAGTGAGTCAATGGGCTTGTGGAATGGAGAGCAGGTATTTTGAGTCGGCGGCGGCTCACGCGCAACTTTGCCATTGGCTGGGAAAATATGGTGAGGCGGACTCCGAATAATGCACGACGCAGAATCCGACTAAATAATAGATTATGGAAATAAAAGTAGGAGTGTTTTGATTGCGCAACGATTTCTGCAAAAAATGTGGCAATTTGGTTTGGTTTTTTTTTTTTTTTTTTTTTCCTTGCAAAAAAAAAACAAATGGTAACTCTTCCGCTTACAAATAGAATTAGAGACTTTTAAAGAGTTGGTTGTTTGGAAGATTGAATGGACCACCTTCTTTACCTTTGAAGATGAGGTTTATTGCCAAAATCACGAGAAAAATTTATTTTAATCTATTGTTTTGCAATCTCTCATGCAGTAGTTGAGTTAATTCCGTGATTCACATTGAATGAGAAATAAAAATTATGAGAAAATATAACACATGAAAAAAAAATTAAAAAACACCACGTGAATAATTAATAAACATAAATCTTATATGAAAAAAAAAAGATCACTTTTAATTTTCCAATGCAGCTTTACAGTAAGCGCAACTCAATCGAGAGAGCGCCGGGACCTCGCGATACTTAACCAATCGAGGTTACTATTGAGTTTTAGCCAATCAAGGATACATAGTGGGACTGTTTCAAGGCCGGTGCGACCATCTCTAAAAGGAGTTAAAGTTAACTAAGTAACAGCAAACGTTAAATTTTTACAAAATTGTGATTGCAATCGTGTGTGAGTGTACACTGACAATATAAATAATAATATACTCATACATAACACACGCACATTCGTGCGTACCTATTTCTACATATTTTTAATTTTCTACGTTGTGATTCTTATAATATATAAATTTTATTTAAATACTTGACTTTAATTTTCTTAAAAGAAAATTTCTGTTTCCTTTTTTTTTAAGTAATGAACTTTTTGTATATACGTTTGAACACATCATAGTAAGCTTGAGATTTATAGTTGTACACAAAATAATTCCTAACATCCAATGAAAAGAATACTAAAAAATTTTTTAAGGTCTTTTAAGTAGATGATCAAAAATATAACACGCAATTTTTTTTCTGTTAAAGTTGCTCGATTAATACAGTGAAGTGAAAAAAATATAGAATTAATAGAGAATATCATTTTAAATTCAATTGTTTTACTACGAACTAACGTGACTTCAAATTTTGACGAGCTCTGTACACCGCATCAATTTTTATTTAGGTATATAAAAAAATTAAAAAATATTTGTCTCATATTTTTCGATAATCTAGGTGAGCGATCTAATAAAAATGAAGAACAAATTTGGTGTTTTTTAACATATTGGGACCTAAAAAAGTGTAGGTAAATAAATTGAGTTAAAAGATATTAAGAAATTAAACTAATTAAGAAAATCTTCCCTTATGTGTAAATATGTGTAAAATGCTGAGTAACAAAAGTGGACTGCTATACTTACCGACTTGTGATTTTTCTTGATAATATATACATTTTTATGAGACCACTTATATAAATTTTTTCGACTGCGCATCAATAGCTGGAAAATCTCATACTTACTTCTTTTTATACATAGATTTTGAGAACATATGAAGAATACAATATGTTTACATAGTGTAAATTGTACATTAAAGAACGTAAGTAAAAACTTTCAAGTAAAAGAAGAATTAAACTTTGTAGGTACCCTATGACATAAAATGTGTATAATGGTACGCATTTTTCGTCACTTAAATCAATCAAATGATTGAGTCATGTTCTAGGTCATGTTTTTACTTTTTATTTCCATTTTTTAATGCTAATGTAGGGGCCTGAGTTTTTCTGATTTTTTTCTTGTCAACTAATGGTGTTGTCAGAAATATATATATAGATTCACCAAGTACTCTAATTAAAACTATCAGGGAATAGAATACACTTCTGAAAAATGGTATGTAAATTTTACTATCAAACTGTTCAAGGGTTTACTAAATCTTGCTGCCAACTCAGTGATAATGTGAACACAAATTTCCAGTTTAAGCAGTTTTCTTGGAAAAACTTTTTTAAAGAATAACAGTTTTTGCCAAAATTAACTACATAAAATTTATGACTTTTCAGAGTCAATTACAAAAGATAAACTTCGCGAGGACACTACAAATACTGCAGTTTTCGTAAGTGGATCGAATGTCTGTGGTCAATTAGGTTTAGGAGATGATGTGATAGAAAAAATTCGCCCAACGCAATTATTGGAACTCAATAATATTATCGATGTAGCAGCAGGTGGGATGTTTTCTATTTGTATGACAAAAGACGACAGAATCATCTGGTTTGGTTATAATGGCGACAGAGAGCTTAGTAGAGATTCTACCAAAATACCTGAAACGAGCCGCTGGATACGTTGAATGTTTATAAAATGTCATACAAGTTGACTGTGGAGATTCGTTTGTAGCAGCATTACTAGAAGACGGGTCTATATTCTATTGGGGATGTATTAGGGTAAGAATATATAACTTTTTATTTTTAGAAAAATTACGACGTAAGTTAATTGTAATCTAATATAATTTATTAAACAATGCCCAGGATACTTACGGAAACATGGGACTGGTAAATGAAACTAAAAAATTTATTAAATTATCAGCGTAGCTGAATCATTTGGTAACATTAACTGATAAAGGAGAAGTTTTTCTCAGCTGGTTGGGGAGAAGAAGGGCAGTTAGGACGTTTACCTAAACAAAAAAACTGACAAACATTGCCAGCGACGAATAAATAAACTACTCACTCCAGGCCAGGTTTATTTCGACAAAGCATATAAACACGTAAAAATAGAAAATATTTGGGCTGGTGGTTATGGCACATTTGCCAAAGAAGCAAATAATATAGTAATATATGTATGTTTGGCTTAAATAATTACGGATAGCGTGGTATGTTTTACACTGAATGTTATGAAATGAAAGTCTTTTCAAATGAACTTTTTTTTCAAAAATTCTTAACAAAAATTTCACCCACGTTCAATAAAAAAAATTGGCTGTGCATCTCACTTTCTGACCATCGTACACTTGCATTAGATGAAAACAGAATGATACACGTGCTGGGAAAAGGTCACTATGGTAAGCTATAGGACTTAGTAATGCCAGCAAAGTAAAAGAACTCACCGTTGTACCGGATTTACTAATGTGCACAGACATCATTATGAGTCCAGAACAACCTTTTGCGATTTCCAGCAGTAACAGTAAGTGTTTTTATGTTTTCGATAAATAAAATTTTAAAATGTTGTATACATAATATAATAAGTATCATTTTGACCTTAATTACTTTTCTCTAAGTAATTTACATGTATGGGGCATGGGGTCAGAAGGCCAACTTGGAATCGAAAATGCGGTTGATGTAGAAAAACCTGCAAGCGTAGATATTAAGAAATGGAAGTACTCGACTATTGTTAAAGTTTCTGTGCGAGGACAACACTCCATATTTCTGGTTTTCTCGCCATCATAAATTAAAAATTTTCAATATTTTTATAAAAAAATACTTGTATAACAAATTTAACTTACTGTTTAACATTTTAATATGTAAATATGTAAGAAATATAAATAAATATAATGCGAATAATAGAATTTATTTGTAAAATAAGAATATAAATAGTAATATTTATGACAATTAGGTTTTGTCTTAGATACGTAGAAATACAAATAGATTATAACACGTATGATAAAATGTATTAGTAAAATTTAAATGTACGTAGTTAAAATAAGTCAGGCAGTTGAGTTTTCTTCTGTTAGACGAGTAGCTAAGTTGGTAAGGATTTTTAGTCTCTAAGTGTTCAATTGTAGGAGGTAGAGGGCAAGAGAGAGAGAGCGAGAGTAATAGCAAGTATTTTTATCTATACATAAAATTGATCAGTGACTCACAGACTGAGCTACAACCAGATGTTTACTTCCATCAAATCTGAAGTTTTAAACATTATACTAAAAATCCCCTGTATTAAAATCAGATGGTGATGTTATCGGCATTTGAAATGCTTTTTTGTTACGAAAGCCCGAAGAAGAAATCCTCGAAAAAATCGAGCCGATGGCCTTTTTATCAAGTAATACTGGAATTGTTGCTCAGAACCAAGTTATCAAAATAATTGTCTACCACTCGGTGATTTGATCTTTTTGGTGCTTTCTGGTGCTTTGAAGTTTATTCAAAGAATTANGATGTAAGTTACTATGACATACTAATCGAAATTAAAATACTTAAAGACCAAGTTTGGCGTGAACAAAGCATAATTTTAATACAATGAAAAAACAACTTGTCAACTTCGGAATAAAACTGGATGAACACAAAAACTTCCGAAAAAAAAAAAAAAAAAAAAATTTCAAGAATTGAATGAACGGTGGTAGGTATTATACAACACGTATATAGAGTAACATTATAAGGTTTGGGACCACGCCGCTGAACACTTAAATAGAGTTTAAAATTATTTACAATTTATAGTTGAGATGCTACGTCTTCCAGAGTCTTAAAATTCTCCTAAACAGCTATTAAAAATATTTTTTTTTAATTCAAATAATTATTTACGGTCATTGATAATTTTGGCCTCGATTTTTTATAAAATTCAATTTTGGAATACAAACAAATTTATATAACTCTAACGTTTTACATTTTACCATGTTGCAACCCATTTCATTTGATAGGGTATGTTTAACGAATGAAAAAAATACCGGTGATAATGTGATTTTAACATTAGTTTTTATTTTATTATTAATTGATTATTACGATTGTTTAACTTTTAACAATTTGATATTTTGACTAAAAAAATTTTTTTTTCTACTTTTGTATGTTGTTTATTGTTAATTTATATGAATTATTAATTTTTACACTTTTTAACAATTATAAAAAAAATGTACATATGGATGCTATATACCAGTCCCTGAGTAGTGGATTGCATGGTTGCATACATGTAGGCGTCTGCTGACTAGATAAAAAACTTACAATGTTTTAAAATTCAGTTTTATTAACATTAGAGATCATTATCACATGCCAAAGTATTACATTTTTTTTATTGTTGCTGCAGTGTACAAAATAATAATTCATATAAATTAATAATAGAAGAAGTAGAGAAAATTTTTTCTGAGTCGAAGTCACAAACCGTTTAAAATCAAGCAGTCATAATAAACAATAAATTGTTAATAACTATTGTTTAAAATATTGTTGAATTGGTGACAATACGTTAAAATGTAGAATGTCGGAGTTATATGCTTATGAGAGGTATCGAAGTCAAAATTTCAGGTTATTTTCATTATTAATGTTAAAAAATTAAAATTTGAAATGGCGATTTTCGCATTCTTTTGCACTATAATTTAATGATAAAATCAATAAACGAGCAAATTATTTTGGGCTATTTTTTATTTTTTATTTTTCTTAACTCAGTCTTAACGTATGTATGAGACTTGATCTTCTTATACATGAGTATTGTCAGACTAGTTTGGCTGTACATCGAAATGAAGGCTCGAGTATTTGTGAAGCCTAATTTATTTAGATATTTTTCAATTTTTTGTACGCGAGTCCCAAGTTAAAGCCAATGTCAAATGCCAATTTCAAACATCACAATGATCTCAAGTGATGTTATGATCATTTTCAGCTATGTTGGTCATTTCTCGTGAACCAGTATCTGTTGCATTAAAAAAAGAAAAGTTTTTTTTACTAATCACGAAGCGCAACAAAGCCACTCCCATAGTTTGATTGAGATCCATTTTCCAAGCCACGGCATATCATATATCCTACTCGTTAAAACGAAACAATATAGCACAGATCGAACGAAAACGCTAGAAATATTTTATATTATGCATATACATAGCAGCAAAGCTCCCACCCGAATAATCCATAACCCAGCTTGTCCTCGAGAACATCTCTGCCCCAAGACCGCACAGATGAAAATTGCCAGCAAAGCACGATCATTTCACTTCCTTGTACCCCCAAATACAATGACCGAACCAAATCTCTGTAACATCAAAGCGAAGGGGGCAGACTCGCGCGCACACATCGACGCAATGAAAGGGCCAAGATCCAAGACAGTACCCCATGTATACGGGAGCAGTCCAAATTAATAGCCGCCCATCAGCGACCCTCTCGGCTATACATACGTACTCCAAAGTACAAACTACAGTCACCTACAGCGCGCCGGCGTTTCACGATACACCCCATCGCTATATACTACAGAGCCGAAGGAAATAGGGGGAGGGGGAGAGAGGTCGAACTGCCGGTGGTGCGCCGGTGGGGTATATACACACGCATCGGTAGGCAGCGAGCGCCCAAGCAAGGGCAGGGTCGTAGCAACCACGAGCCGTCCTTCGCTCGGCACCAGCTAGCTGTACACCGCCACTCGAGAACGGCAGCAGTGCGCCCCGCGACGCGAACGCCGATATACGCTCTGCTCACCCCGCGATCGTTTACAAATCGTATGGTCGTATAAATACACCGTAGCTATCGTGCCGAGCGAGAGTAGGTCAGTATATCCCCGATGACGGCGGACAAACGGGAATAAACAGTATAAGGGGCGAACGGAAAAGCAGTGCTGTAGCGATCGGTGGAAGGGTGAGTCACGGCGAGAGGAGGTGGCCGAGGAAAAAGGCCCGCTTGAGCCCCTTTCTTTTGCGTTTATCTTCATCGTCGGTTTTACGATAACCCTCGGGCGAGCGACTTTACCGCGTCCTTCGCGTGTACGCGCGAGCGACGAGAACAGCGACCGGCACGACGCAGCGGGTGAAACCGATGAAAAAAGCGTACGCGTTTTAGGTGTAAAGTGGTGGAAAAAACAAAAGAAAAAAAAAAGTCTACATGTAAGCATCCGAGTACAAGTGGATCGAAGAGTAGGGGGACAAACAAAGTTCGCGAGGCCATTTACGCGCGTGGTTCGTGGATCGGCGCCGCTGTTGTCCGGGCTGGGAGAGCAGCGATGACGCGCGCAGTAGTACATCCGTAGCTACGGTCAGACGAGCTTGGTGGCGAAGAGCGAGCGCGGGCGGACGGTTGTTTTTCTTTTGTTGTTTATCAAAACTCGGGTCGGTGGTGTTTTTTGTGGTGCGACCAAGTGTGGGTGGACCGAGAAGGCGACAGGAGCTGGAGATCGGTGCTTGTCGATTTTTGGTGTTCGGGAGTGCACGTGCCGGTGCGCGTTGTGAGTGACGATATGGGGTGCAACACGAGCAAGGAGAGCGTGCAGCAGGCTGTCGAGGAGGCGAAGGAAGACGTCAAAGGAATGGCCAAAGATATCGTGCGGGATCTCCTGAAGGACGAAAGTGCAAAGGAGGAACCCAAGAACGGTGGTAGGTATTATACAACACGTATATAGAGTAACATTATAAGGTTTGGGACCACGCCGCTGAACACCGAGCGCGGTGAGCTGTGTGTTTTTTTATACCTAAATAAATTAAGCGGCGCACCTTGAACGTACAAGCGTCCACTTTTTTTTGCGAGCAGTTGTGAATAAAAAACGAGGTACATATTTTAAAGACGTTTTTACGTGCTATACAGTATCATTAATACGTAAAATGGTATGTAGGTGTGTTGTCGTTGGTTTACACGATAAATATTTCAAGCTTTCGATCGACGTTTTGCCTTTTACAAAAATTTCGCGGGTATACGTGTCGTACGATTGCTATTGTGAAATTTATTACGTGGAACTGGATGTTTTAGAGTACAATGGAAACTTTTTTTTCACTTAAAAATATGCTAAGGATGCAGTTACGTTGTCAAGTTTGTACACAACTAAGTAGGTAGTACTCTTTTTCATTCAACCGATTTGTTTTTAATTTCACAAAAAATCAGCTCATCTGAAACTAATTAAAAAATATATATACAATTCACGTATCAAATGCCTACCCTCTAAATTTGAAATAGTGATAAGTATACAAATTTTTCAAAATAGTGCGTGTACACTGCGAAATAGTGAATGTATATACCATTTAAACAATGAAACAGTCAATTTTAATATTTCAATGTTTTATACTTGTATCTTATTTGAACTAGTGAATATTTACTATATGAAATAGTGAATTTTGCCCAATAACTCAAGAAAATTTCACTACTTCAATTAGTTGGTTAACTTATTGTTGGAATTACTCGAAATAATGTGTATGGGATGTACAATTATCTTCATTTGGTTCAAGATTGTTCATTACATTACTGATAAATATATAGAATTCAAATTCATAACGACTGGGCGCGAATAAACGATTCTGGTTTTTCACTACTTGACCAGTAAAAATCTTGTTTACTTGCATACAAAATTTCAAATGTGGGGAGTAACTCGAGTCGCAAAACGAGGCCAAAGATCGAAAGTAATTTCCAAGCTCCTCATTAACTCGCGAGACACGCCGTGAAAATCAACTACAGCGTAAATCTCACTTGGCACCCGATGCGTGGCCCCAAAGCCGATAATTACACTTGCGCAATTAACACAATCAGGCAAAAAAAAAAAAAAAAAAAAAACCCCTCGTATCGCGCTCTCCCCCGAAAGTTTGGAGTACACATATACGCACATAAAACCAGCTTACGCCGATCTGCAGATGCGCGCGCTCGTTTGTAAAAACAAACACGAGCAAAAGCACTCGCTACTCACTCGCGCGACATATAGATACACGTGGGAGTCGCGAGCGCGCGCTAACTCGACTGTACATCAAAGCTCTGGCGCCAGACTCGCCGGCGGCAACTGTATAACCAGCGCTCCCATAACGCGGGTCTCCGGTGCCGTATAATGGGCATGAGTACGACGCTCGCTGTCTGCGGATGTGCTCTCTCGAGTGGCTCGATGGCGCCGGAAGAAATCAATTGCGCTCGCTCGCGTGCGCCACGTGTGTACAGCTTATAGCTTCGCTTTGTGTAAGCGCGAGTTGTTGGGGGTCGGGAGTGGAGAACACACGCGAGCCTCGCTTACGATAATTGGCGCGCGAGTCACCGTCTGCGGGTAGGTGTATTGACTTGCGGTCGAAAAAGGTGTCGCGTCTGGGTGTAGACGCGGCGGAGACCTTTGTTAAGTGACTCTTGCCTGAACTCCGTTCGCGGTTGCCGCTTCGTCCTGTTACCTTCATGCACGTGCGTGTTAAATTGTGGCGAGACGATAACAGAGGCGGGGATACGTGGACGTTCAATAATTGAGTGGTATTAATAACAAACGCAATTTGATCGTGATGGTGCACGCGCGTCGTACATGAAGTTGTATAGTTTCACTTGCAAACATTATTTATTCATTGCGGGCTGATGTAGCCTATTTACGGACAGACTGTCGCGTACTTGGAGGCTTTCGGGTTAACTCGATGTTTTTGTAATACAAATGACGAGAGCTTAAATAAAATTAGTACGCGCCAGAATCAAATCCAATTGGCTCACATAATTGTCGATAACTAAGTATGTTTCAGTCAGAAAAATCTTTCAGTACCATCCAAAAATCATTCAAAGTCATCAATTTGATTTAATTTGATCTTTTGTTTTGATTTCAAAATCTATCATGGTTTTGAAAAGTCTTTTAAAGTCTCGAAATTTTTATCGAGATTCCAAAGCACGCTGCCATTTGAATGAATAGAGTTAGGCTTACAGTAAGATAATTTACCTTGATTTTGTTCGAGGCACGAGCTGTTAATGATGCATTGTCTCTAAACAGTTTTTTAGTGTCACTTTTTATGGAATTTTTACACTACCAAGCCTCCGTAGCTAGCGATAATTATTTATCACCTGTAATTATTGGCTACTGTTTTCCTGCGACAGAAAGCGAGAAGATACAGTCCAATAACAAAAAGCTAAGAAATTAGTATTTTAATACCCAAATTGAATAATTAATTAACTGTTACAATATGCGCTCCCACACTATTGGATTTAATGTTACTACATTTGAGTTATTATGATGTAAGTTACTATGACATACTAATCGAAATTAAAATACTTAAAGACCAAGTTTGGCGTGAACAAAGCATAATTTTAATACAATGAAAAAACAACTTGTCAACTTCGGAATAAAACTGGATGAACACAAAAACTTCCGAAAAAAAAAAAAAAAAAAAACATTTGCAAGAATTGAATGCATTTTCTAAAACCAAACTAATTTTTTTCACTTGAAAAAACCAAGGTAGCTGCTTTTTCTCAAACTCGTACTAGCTTTTTCATCCCTGCAGATACCACAATCTTTAGAGCATATGCTTTATTTATGAGTCAAACGGTCATCACTTAAAGTTAATCACTCTATATCCAGACAGGAGGAATTATTGTTCATATTGTACATTGCGAGGTAAGTGAGCTATAGCCTATTATTGTTCTGAATTAGTGAGCAATATCTCTACATGCTTGGTGGTTTCTATTTACACGCTGCGACACAACATAAAATAGAAGAAAAATGTGAAAAGAGACAGTTTTGTAATTTAATTTTTTTCTACATCTCTGATACCCTTGAATTAAAATGTGGTCGACAAGCTTCTAGAGTAGAGGTCGTTGGCTTGGCTCAGGACCAAACTCCTCCTTTTTCCGAATGTTCACACAATATTGTCTATGTACTTATTTTACAAAAAAATTGTAGTAGAACTTAATAGTATTGTTACATAAATATACCAACTACTATAAGCATTAACTTACACTAGCCAACAACGAGTGCAAAAGTTTTGTAAAATTACTTGCACGTCGATCGAATTGATCTGACAAAGTTCATCAATGCTTACAACATTAAAAACGTAGGGTATTTGTGTGCATAAAGTCTTGTTACTTGTTGTATTAAAATGAAATTATAGAAAGGAATCAATGGCTTGGTTACAGTTTTTAAAGACATCTCTCATAAAATCGTAACAAGCCTCGTCCGTACATATACATATACTATACGATTAATTTTTATCTTTCTATGCTAAACTAAAAATTGCAGCTAGTTTTACCAGTTAACATAGTTACTGGACACATAACTATGAAACCTGTAAAGACGATCAATCCAACTCACAAACTTATTTCAGCTTGCAAATTAATAGTACAGATTATTCCATTTGTATGATCAAATGGAACGCATGGTCTCATTAAAACTTATACCTTTGAGGGAAACATATACGGAACTCCAATGGATTTTTTAATTAATTAATGTTCTATAAAACTTGTATAAGGTTCGTGTTGTATGTAAGGTGAAATAGAAACTTTATATGGGCATGAGCGATTTTTCCGCACGAGAGGCTCATTTAATTTCTTGTTTGTACAACAGCGAAATGCGTAATGCGGATTTTGACAACACGTATTATGAAACACTAGACAATAACTCTTAAAATAATTAATTACTTAAAAATACACTACATCTGCACTTTTACTGGATCGCATGCAAACGACACATCGTCTTGAACGAAGTGATTAGTTCATTCCAAATGACGCGAGAATTTTTATAACTACGATTATTTATGTGTCCTAAACTTACTGTACTGCATACGCCTTGTCAGCGTTTTATAAATGCTTCGAGAACACTTGTAAATGTAAGCACTTACGTCACGTGTTTGCACACTATTATATATATATA